ACTTAACTTTAGAACGCTATAGATATTGAGTAATACAATATGCTATTAATACGTAAATTTTAGGTACAAGAAAATAGAGCATTCTTAATTAATGTAACACAAGTTTTTCATACATTTAATTCACACTTTTAATGACAAATCATTTATAATAATAGACTAGACTTTTATAAACACAAATAACCTACTAATTATTAACTTAAAGAATAAGGGTACCATCAAATGCAATTTTGAATATGAATAGAATATGAAGCTTGTAGTCCAATTGTGTGTGTGTGTGTGTGCCTCTCCTCATAACACTTGAATAAAATATATAATATACAAAGAATATATATAATAATATATATAATAATGCATATAATAATATATGTAATATATATAGGGTGTCTCACAAACCGTATTTCCTCTTAAGGACGTATTCTTGAGGTAATTTTGCGACGAAAATCCTAATACGAAAATATCAAACTATAATAATTTTTTGAATTATAAGCTAACTCTAAATGCTTTTAAGTAAAAAACGATTTTATTTTTATAGGCTCTATTATTATTTCTGGATTCTTTTGAATATTTTAAGGCGAAAATCCTAATATGAAAGTATCGAGGCTATAATAGTTTTTGAATTACAAACCATTTTTAATCAATTATAATTCAAAAACTATTGTAGCTATTGTAACTATTGTATTGCCTCGACATTTTTGTATTAGAATTTTCGTCTCAAAATTATCTCAAGAGTACAATCTTAAGAGGAAATGTGGTAGTTGTGAGACAACTTGTGTAATAATATACAAAGAATAATTGCTAAAAATTAAAATCACTTATCACATTTTCGTTGTACCACTAGCACAGTGATGTTTAAAAAACATATTAAAAATGTATGTATTGGAAATTTCGTCCGTATTTTAAAAAACACCCAGAATAGAGTGTCAGATATTTTTATAATGTTTTAAAAACATCCAGTGTTATTATTCTGGACAAAAAAACTGTTTTAAGGATATAACGGACCAAAATTGGACTTATTTAAAACATTGAGCAAATTTAAGTCGGCAGATAGTCCGTTCGCAATTGGAGTCCTTATCTACAGATTCAATTAATTACATTTAATGCTTGGTAAGTTACCCATATACAAAATTATATGTTGAATTGCAACACCGCGAAGTGTAGATTCAACGTGAAAAAGACATTGCAGAAATATTCAATGTCCATTCAATTGCAGTGTTCTTGCAAATATTCAGGAACATTGATTCAACATTTATTTAATATTATATAATTTCTAGTTCCAAGAATATCGAGTACTTTGTATCATTTTTACACAAAATTAAACGAAATACCTCAAACTACATTTTATTTGTTTTATTTTCATCTTGGAATCTTTCTGTCTCTTTCGAGAAATCATTTTATTGGAATACGAGTGGAAAATCTTATAATGCTGGGTCTTTTATTCCAGATTTTTTATTTACAAGAAATACGGATTCCGCCGCATCCATCTGACGACGATGTCATGTACAGCTTCCGGATGTGCAATTTTAGTGAAGAGTTTCTTTTAACAAATGCAATTTGCATCACAGTTAACTTGTTAGCAACTTGCGTTTTACATTAATAATAATGTATTACTATTATTACGCTACATTATGAAAAAATATTAAAAAATATATTAACAAATTAAGTTCCTAGCATAGCATTAAAATACATTTATTGAAAAAAAAAAAAAGAATTTAATATTATACTATATATACATTATGTATAGTAATAATATTTTATAGTAGAGTTTTTTATTATAAAATAAAGAGACATTTTATAACTGTTTTATAACGAGAATATTTAAGGGTATAAATATACAAGATATATATTTTTAAAACATTCAAATGTAAATATATTTTACATGTCGAATAACGTATATTTTTAAAAACATATTCATATTAAGCTCATGAATGTTTGTACTAAATAAAAACAAAATTTTGACGTTCAATGGATGTGCTGTCTGAGTAATACTGATCACTAGAATATCTAAACTGACATAAAAAAATAGACAGAATTTTTAAAAGCTTATTTCCGCTTGTCCTAGCTTTCAAAACGGCAGATTGAACCTCCTGGTGGCAATTATGCCTTCAATTGCCACCAGGAGGTCCAATCTTTTGAATTGACCTTGGCGCTCAATGACCTCGCTCACTTGTACGTAAAATTTACATATCGAATTATGGAATTAAACACTGTGAACTTTTATCGAATTAATTGTGAAACAGAACAGTATTTTCATCCGCATTAATAGGGTTATTTCTGATTCCTATAAACTTATATTAGCGTCAACTTTTAACCCTTTGAGGACTGGAGTTTTCTAACAAAGAAACTTAAGAAAACCCGTTTTGTTTAAGTTATAGTACTGCTAAATTTGATTCTAGTCTCAAAATTCTAACATTCAAATAAAAAAAATAAAATAAACTGATTATGTTAGTTGAAACTTAGTAAAACTCAATTTAGGAGGTTTTATAGGTATCATTGAGCTTGAATGTAGTCTGAAAATGTCAAACTTCAAAAGGATAGTAACCTCCAATAAAGGAGGACTTAGTGTCACAGGGTTCGTAATCAGAGTTTGGAAATCAGTATTAAGTGCTTGCATAGGAATGAAGAGTTTCAAATAAAGCGAAACTAGAAACTTGATAAGCGTACTTTAAAATAAAAAAATCCTTTTAAAAAAAGCTGAGTTTTCTATAATAGATTATTTTTTTATTCTACCATATTAGATCAATCATTTTAAACTTTTTTTTTCTTTTCGATCTCACATTTGAATAAAACATTATCAAAAATTATCCTATAGATTAAGATTCATAAAAATCGAGCAAGCAGTTTACAAAATAAAAGGATGAAATCCCAAATAGGTAATCCCGTCAGTCTACAAAAAGTTAAAATTCATGTGTTACTGTTCAAACATTGCACTGGGGAATATCAGGTAATCAAGGACACAAAGCACTATCATGATTTCCTCGCGGTGTCGGAGATGCAGCGAATCGAAGCGAGTCGAATTTAGCTGAGCGAGCCAATCGTTCTCCTTCCATTTGCAAATTAAATGGTCACGTTCTTGATTTCAATTCTACGGAAGGCGATTCCCCCGAGTTTCCAATGTAACTTGTCTTAAACTCAGCGACCAGACGTTTAATCTTAATCGATCTATCCGCCTTATCGCCCGGCCGATGTATATCAACATTTTTCCATTTCTACCGCTGACATCTCCATCGACCTTCCCACTTTCGTCTATCTCGTTCATCCCCGCTATCCTTTCTTCTTTTATCCGCGTTCCTTTTCTATTTTATCATCCCTCCCCCCCCCCTCCTTATTCCAGTCATCGATTTCTTTTTGCAGGTCCATCTCACTCCATTTTTTCGTTTACTTTCTCACAGCTTTGGCTCTAGTGCGATTTCTTACAGATTCCACAACTACTCCCTTTCGAAAGCGGGCATTCCCTTAGCCACCTCAAAGTCTTATCTTAATGGCTTGCCTCGACAATCGAAAGTTTAGTTATTATCATAGCCGTTGTCGCCCCGCTTCGCCAACTATACGGTGGATTGCGCGGAAGCGTTTTAGGTGTTAGATAGCGACCGTGGAAATTATCAGGTTGACACGTACGCATGGCTACGGGCGAACACGAACTCGGTTTTTGCGACGAGAACTTTACGGTCGAACGATATCGCCGAGAAGTCAGATCACTTGAAATAAGAAAATGTAAGACCGTTTCGATTTTTGCATGAAAAGAACGGTTTTGCTGAAGCATCTAAAAATTTAGCTAGATGTAGAGCTGAAAATAATTTCGTTGGACTATTAGAATAATTGCGTAGAGGACACTGATTTGACAATAAAAAGTTCTAACATTCTAGCAATCAGTTTAATCTTTTGACTCCTGAGCAGAGCAAGTCAAAAATTCGTCTCAAAAATGATCTCTCCAGAATAATTCCGCCATAAGATTTTAATAAATTTTGTAATTTTTTAAAATTAATTTTTAAGTTATAGTTTTTATTTGAGATAAATAATATATGCAATTTTCAAAAAGGTATAACTTCTTTAAATAAAGAACTTAATAACTATAATAATAAGAACTATAATAATAATAATAATTTCTTTACTAGAGACGATCATTTGCTCCTTTTGGGAATATTATTTTCTAACTATTTTAAAAAATTAATTTTTATTTACAATTTAAAAATTGAATACCAATTTAGTAATATTTAAGTTATTTGCAGAGTTGTGCAATAACAAGAACTACAATAATAATTGTTTCGTTATAATTATAATTTTAAAGATATATCGATATAAAATTAAAATAAAGACGTTATATTATTTTCACGCATATATATATATATAAGACGCTTATTGACTATATATATAATTATTTTGATGATCCAAACAAATTTATTTTTATATCTGCATCTAACTAAATTTTAGCTATATTTCAGCTAAACCGTTCTTTCTATTTGATTTGGAAAGATGGTTCAGAAATGCAATGTAAGAACTCTAAATTATCGACCGATTGTTACTTAACACAGCTTGCGTCGTTATGATTATCAATCATTTACTTCAGACTTTTATCAGAGACGTCGTTTCTCTCAGTAATTTTTCTTATCGTTACCGTTAACGAGATCAGACCGCACACAATTATAATCACTTCTCTCGTAAATGTGCGACTCCTTCAGTATTCAGTCTCTCCAAACAGGCAGTAATGAAATGTTTCCAACGTTACCACAACGAGAATACCGTAGATACCCGCTAGTACCAACTCATTAAGAACGTCTCATTACTGGTGGTAACCAGGTCAATTACTCATAAGTTCACTCTTAATGCTCAAGACGCCACGGTGTGATTCTCATAGTACGCACTGTACATATATAATTGCTATTAATGTTTTTTCAAAATAAAATTGTATGAAAAATGCAGTTAAAATTATTACTTTCAATTTCATCAATAAATTCTGTTGTTTCTCTTTTTGATAAACGAACATCGCGTGCGTTTCGCATAAAACTGTCTTCATTTTATGACACAATAAAGTTTAGGTTATTTTATATTTAAAAAAAAGGACAATGCATTAGTTATAGCTTTCATGAAAGGTAAAATATGAGTAAAAAACGTACAATAAATATCGCACTTGTTGGTCAACATCATGGAAAAATTGATATCGAACGAGTGGGTAATACATACAAAACCGAGCGATAAAATTGCCTATGTGTATTTCTAGGATTTTCACGGATAAAGTCTTTTCAGGTTTCTTTAGCGATCCACTGCCGGGTTCCTTTGATGTTTATCAAGAGCCTATACAATTTCGTGAAAATGTTGCCAAAGGGAGCCAAATTCTCAGCGGACCTCGTATTCAATTATTCAAAAAGAAATATGAGCGAATTTTTGAAGGAGAGGCACTTACGGAGTCATGGCGCGACGAGGCGAGGCAACGGGTACGTATTTATAATTGTGCGAAATTATAGGAAATCAATATTTAATCATTTATTAAAAATAAAACATTAAAGAAAGTTCGCGAGCAGGATCCGTTAATGTGTATCGATTGAGATATAAATTTTAATTAAATCTTTGTTAGAAAAATTTATACCCTTTCTTGGAGAATATCGTTTAACAAAGTTTAATTATAATTTTTTTCACGTGCGCAATGTTACATTGATCTTTAAATTAAAACTATCCAGTTAATCAGTTGCAGTTGATTAAGTAAGATGTAGAATACATCATTAAAATGTCCTCGTCTATCAAATCTTTAGCCTGCTATACTAATTCAATTTGCTTATGGTTTTTTGCTTTAAGCTCGCTGATCTGTTCAAATTTATTATACGATTACATATTGTTTAAGTTAATATGATTAAATAGCTCTAAAAAGTAAAAAATAAAAAATTTTCACAGAAAATGGATCTCCAAAATTATTAATTAAAAAATTTATATTAATATTTTGTTTGAAAAAGTTATTTAATAAATTATTAGTAAGAAAACAAATTATATTTTTGATTAAATAGACACGAATACATAAACGGGGATGTTAATAAGACCGCCACACAAAAAAAGAGAAAACATCTTTGAAATTTATATATATATATAGGAAAGAATCGGATATTATATGAGCACCTTAAGGAAATATTTTGATATATCTAGCATACTGAAGAATAAAAAAATTTTATGCATACCATTTGATGCATACCATTAGATGTGTTGATGTTTTATATATTTAGTATTGAAATTGATCATTTTAATGCAAATGTTGAAATGGTGGCGGGTGCTTTTATTACTCGCCCAGTGCTTATATTACCCTTGGATAGGCTAATATGAGCACAGAAAATTTTTTGTATATATATATATATATGAAACATTTTATTAGAACAAATGCCAATTAAATGTTTATTTAATATAATCAAAAAATAATGTTACAAATATTTAAATATTAACCAAATTTGATCATTTCACCATACATTTAATAGCTATTATCAAACTCTAAGGTTCAGTTTCACATCTCATGATTAACTCTTAACCATAGTTTAACTCATTCTTCATCTTTTTCTAATGCTAGAATTGGAAAGGGATGAGAAATAAGTTTAACCTTGATCAAGAGTTATGAAACTGGGCATAAGAGGATCAATCATTGCTAAAATATGTACACTAATGTACAGTGATTGCTAATTATGGCAATTCAATACACTTTATTGCTAGCATTGCTATTGTATTGTAAATATTGTTATCCTATGTATTACCGCCTATTGCGTCCAATATTGCTGAGTATTATTAATGTATTGCTATGTACTACTATATATTGCTGCTACATTGCTAGCGTATTGCTAGTACTGCTACTGCTAGCATTGCCTGTTTTATTACTATATTGTCGCAATTATTTCTAAAGAAATGTATACTGATTGCCATAGTGGTTGACCTCTTGGTAGACTCTTTTTTCAGTGTATATACGATAATGAAGATGCTCATAATACACGACCATGCATATCTATCCGAAAAACTCCCGTGTTTAATAAATCAATAATAGTCTCGGGACTTTATGAAGTTAGAATAACTCAATATTGTTTATAAATATTAACATGCAGAACAAAATATCTTATCTCAACGTAGATTGGGAATCTTATAAAGTTAGGGGAAAAAACGTAAGAAATAAAAAAATAACGTATAACGTACTTATTTAATATGATAAATAGACTGCGGAACTTTATGCAAAATACTTAACTGAATATTAACTATCGGACAGTTTTAGCAGTCAATCGTTGTTCGTTAAAGAGTTATTAAAAGGTGAATTAAAAAGATTGAGATTGCCATCTGTAAATTTACAAAATTGCAAAATATGCATTTTGTGCAAAATATTCAGTTAAGTATTTCCGCAGTCTAATGATAAATATTCGAAGTACATTAATTTAGATCAAACTTCGCAGCATATTGGAATGTTGCGAAGACAGATGCATCTTTTTACAACAGTTGGCACTAGTACCAACCGTTACAGAAATATAAAGGGTGGTTATATTACCTGCAGTGCTCATAATACTCGATCCTACTTTATAACAAGTATAATTTTACGACGTAAACCTTTCAGATAATAGACGAAAAAAGAAAGATCGGTGGTCACATGCTACCGACATCCCCATCGAAGAAGCACTCGACGCCCGGAGACTGGTACGGATGCTTTTCTAAATCTTCTTATTTTAGTCTGTTGTCGAAAGAAAAAGAGAGAAAAAAGACGCCATTTCTACCTAATATGAAGATCAAGCCCAATCCGCTTGGCGGCCCAGGATACGCGAATATTTGCTTAAATCCTTATCCATCATACTCTCACGAGCCTTACGATCGCATTGAAAGAGTAGTTGGTAAAAGTAAGTGCGTCTTTGTTCATACTTCCGATATAATCTCCGCTCTCTCAAACAACTTTCGATAAACTTGGAATGTATAATTTAAGAAAAAATGCATAAATTTTAGACGATATGCTAAAAATAGGTGTTTTTAAAATAGCTTAAAAAAAGATTGAACTTTTTGTTTATATTACAAACAAAATAAACTATTGTCGTTCGTATAACTCATGGTAGAGATTTATGTAAAAAGTAGTTCATTTCGATCGTTGAGCTGAATATAATAAGAACAGGAGTCATGTGTATTTGCATTGATGTCGAATGAATTTTTTCCCTTATTTTCTCATCTTATTTTATGTATTATAAAGCATTTTGGAATCTATAATTTATTCGCAAAATACTTTTTGCGAAATATTTTACAAACCGTATTGATGAAAAACATAATAAATTCAATAAATAACGTTAAATATTATACAACTTTTTAGTAACATATTTTTAACAAAAATTCTTTATAGTTTTTTAAGAGGCTTATCAGAATCAATATATAATTATTATTTGTTAATTTAATTTGTAGTATTATTATCTCAATTTCAAGATAGCGTTTTAACACTAAAAATGAAATCAGAGCGCAGTTTATAAAACTGAAGATGTATATAAATTCACATTAAAATTTTATTAAGCACTAAAATTTAGCTGAGAGAGATTGAATTCGAGATTGAATTAATAAATTGAATCGTGTATACGAGTATATACATATATATCGCGTTCTTGTGATACACAGGTTCTTTTTGAACATTTTTCATCTGTTGTGCGCTCCTTATTATCAATTTCTAAATCATAACTGCTTTGTAATTTTTCCAAAAAATTATATAAGCTAAATATATATGAAACTTTAGTCTATAAATTGATGCCTTTTCAAAGAGCAAAAGGCATCAAATTTATGGACTAGAGATTCATTTGTAATGAGCCTATTTATAACTAATATTTAATTCATACTAAATATACATACCTCTCGTTTCAATTAAAATAACAATTTTTTGGATAATAAATTATAGTTAATATACCAATAAATAACAATTGTTTTATAGTAAATTATTGTTTATATACTAATAACGGCAGCAAATACTGTTACTGTATATATTAGTAATAACGATAGAAAATTGTTCTGCCACTTTATGCAGACAATAAAATTGCCAATAAAAAGTGTTTTATAAAATTTTGTTATTTTTTAACTTTTTTCAATTATCTTCTAGATGTATATGTATATAACGCATTGTGAGAATTTCTCTCCAATTACAGCGTAAAAAAATTAATGAGAAAATGGAACATAGGTGTAGATTGGATTTTTTTCGGAACACTTCCTTTATTTTATTTGGCAGTATGTAATTAATTATAATTATATCGTAAAAAAAGGAATTACGTTGGTTTTTGAGAGAAACACGCATTTTTAACTTTTACATAAAATACCTTCAAAAAAAAAGTTTGGTAGCAATTAAATGAAATCCTAATTAATATCATAAATGTTCGAAATTCCTTTTACAGGAATCTTTTAGATCTTACAAGTCCATCACGTTAAAAGCTTTTTGCAAATTCTCTGAATTGGAAATTTCTTAATTTATTCTTGCATTTACTGTATATAAAGATTATAACATACGATTTTCCATTAATCCAGCTGTGCAAATCATATACATGTTAAATTTCAGTGTCCGGCATTAAATTTTGGAGTTTATACATGTTTATTAAAATATTCATTTTTCTGACTATCTGTATGATCTTTTTCTTGTGTAATTCATATATTCTAAATGCAAATCATCACTTTGGTGCAACAGAAATGGTGTCTGAAGGCCGATTCTTGACGACTAGTGCGCCGTTGGATTATTTCCCCCCCAATCCTTACAAGGATGAGGAACCAGGGCCCACTTACATCCGTCCGGTCGAGATTGCAAGGAAGACACTCGGTACGGCGCGATTCTACGTCCCTTTTCCCAAGAAACCCGGCGGAAGTCACGATGGTTGCTTCAGCAAGTTTCCAGAGTACACGAGCGATCCTTATGTTAAGGCTAAGGATAAAGCTGCCGTTCAGCCCAAGTTTATAAGCGGTGGACCGTTTCTACGTTCGAAATATACGAACAGTATTATCGAGCAGATAACGAAAATATCGTGCAACGCTCGCAATTATCCGGAATATCGGGAACGAGCATATCCTATGCACTGAGAAAATCTTTCTAATTGCACGGAAATTGAACTCCCGAACTTCTTTTTTATTCACTGTTAGAAAGAAATTTTCTTCTGTAATTATCAGTCATACTAAAATTAATTAAAAATAATTAGATTTTATATTTCTCTCTTTGTCTTTTATTCGTAATGTTTTATGTGCAGTACTTACATTTGTACAATATCGTTTAAGTAAATTACTTATGAACAAATTAAGAATAAGAAAAAAACCGAATGAAACCATTACGACGCTGTGAATCTGTACGTATTTCTTCATTAAATCCACTTTAAAAATTCCAGTTGGTAAATGTACATTTCATCCTAATTTCATTCCGAATCCCGTAGAATTTTCAGAAGGCTGTGAATGCATTTCTATTTTATCGCGTCCGCAATGCATGCGATTTCGTACTAGCGAAGCCATCGCCTTCTGCTATCGCGTTTCCGTCCTTACGATGTTGGGCCGACAAATCGCTTTTCAGCAATGGCGATTGGCCAAGTACGGCTGCAACAACATTCAGGTGTGGTGGTAGAGTCCTTTCAAAGTGAATCACCCCAGCGCGTTCGGTCTTACGCTCCTAATGAAATTCTAACGAATGTTTCTACCGCCATTGTCGTAGAAGTCCACTCTCGGCAATCGCAATTAAATGTCCCCAATAAGCATCGTGTACGGCAGGATTATCAGGTTGGCAGCAGGTAGAAGCTGCAGAATAGTCTGAAAGAAAGAAAGCGAAGAATGCACTTTCTATTTGGATAAACAAGAGCTACGCGGAGCGCGTAATTAGCGGGCTGTTTTACTTGCTACGAATAAAAAAACATTCCTTTCTCTTGATAAAGTTTGTAGAAGGAAAAATTTTATTTCAGCTTATATGCCAAAAAGACTAGGTTTTATTTAATACACATTCATCCGTACCTTACAATTATTGGTTAATTATATGTAGAATCCACTGTCAATACATTACTTTTATCTGAACTTAATATCTACAAATGCTTCTTATCCTTCATATTACACCCTTTTTATTTCTATTGTTTATGCTAATTTACGATACTATCAATACATATTAACAAAGCTAGTATTAACTCATACAGCACAGAAGCTATAGCAGTATTGCTGCAATAATTGCAATGTTACTGCAATATTGCTGAAACGTTGCAATATAGTCGCAATATTGCTAGAATGATCTCTGCTGTATGGGAACGAGTAAAAACTTGGCTAAATCACCGTATATAATATTAATAAAAGGAACACGTTGTTATGAGTGTATTTTAATAAATCATCAGCTCATAAAAATTGCCTTAGAAGAAAAAGTTATCGCGTGCCATCATGAAGTTTATTAAGTGTTTCGTGTAAAAACAAACTGTCGGAATATATGAAGGACGTTTCGATTATAGCACGCGATGTTTAATTCCGCAAGGAAAATGAAACGGATGGTGAATTTTTCTGGTAAATGAACTTAGTATCTTAAGTGAGTGTCTTTGCGTGAAGTTTCGCGCGCCGCCACGTCACGAAGTGCTATGTATAGAAATGCAATAAGCGTTTCCTCCTCTGAAAAATTTCTCGTGGAGCACGTGGCAGACAAGAAATGGCAGCGGGTAGGTATGATTCCACGAGATTTATTCCGCGGTTGAAGCCGACCATTTCTCCGTGCCGTGTCGTTGCGCCGGTATTAAACATTCCAGGCATTGCGATGCCTCTCCAATACTCACTGGTCTACGTAGAAACGTATAAGGAGCATCGTACAAGACGGCTCGAAGCAGTCGTACGACTATCTATTCGATATATACATCGATATGTGTATATAATATATGTGTGTGTATATACACCCTGTATATATATGTATATACAAGGTGTATACTAAGTACGCTAAAAGAGTTTAATTATTAATTTATTTATTTTAATGAAACTTTAAACATATATAAAGTTTTAGCAAAATAATTCGAGTGATTTTTGAAATTTTTCCTTCAATTTTTTAACACTCTGTACACTGTAAAAAATAAAATGTCAATTTTAACTTATAGTGGACTTTCTGAGACATGCAAAAATGTTAAAATTAACACAGAAATGTCTTGTCTCAGAAAGTTCACTATACGATTATAAGTTAAAATTAACATTTGATTTTTTATAGTGTATCTTTAAAATTAAATTGTTTTATAATATATGGTTACATAAATTTATGAGAAATCACCCTTTAAATCTTTTAGCATATTTAGTATACACCCTGTACATATACTTATATACAGGATGTTCTAAATTTCGTGACTCAAAATACTATAGTATGATAGTTTTCAAAAATTAAGTAAAAAGTTATTTGTAAATTTTTATTTTAAGGAACAATTTTTGACATGTAAGGATTTAAATATTGCTAATTACAGACCACGTTTAGTCTCCATAAATCGCGCGAGCGGTAGTATTACTTCAGCGCACTTAACACTTACAGATTACTTAAACATAATCTGTGATTGATCACATTTAAATCCTTATCTCCAAAATTACTGTTTAAAAAAAAAAATTTACATTTCGAGAACTTTCCTGCCATAGTACTTTAAGTCGCGAATTTTGGGTCACCCTATATACAAAGTGCTTATCGTAGCGGTCTGCACGATTTTCGAGACACTTGGAATAGTTTCAACAAAAGGTTGCAAAGAAAATATTTATTTGTTTCATGTCAGCTATGACTGCTCTCTCTAATTGTGATTTAAAAAATTTTAAAAATCTTTTCATAAAAAATTAAGATTATTTTATAAAAAGCACCATACGATTTTTATTTGTAATATTATAGAGAATATTAAATTCGATTAATTTGATTATATGTGGAAATATTACTTTTATTAATATCTTTTATTAATATTTAATTTACTAAATTTACTGCATAACTTAAAATAGCTGTACTTACTTACATCAAATTCCAATTAATAATATTCAAGATCTTTGAAGATGAATAATTACAGCTTGTGCAGTTTTGGATACAAATAATGTAAAAATAGTTAATATTAACTTGTTGAAAAGAATAGAACTTCGAAAGTCTTTATAGACGGAGGTATACAATTTTAACACTTGCTTACATAAGTTACAAACTTTTTTTATTATTATAATAAAATAAATATAATAAAATGTAATAAAATAAAAATAACATCTTCAGTATAAGTTCATCTTAACCTTCCCAACAATATTATAATAAATCGTACAATTTAAAAAGATTCCTATTTCGTAAGAATATTTAAAAAATACTGATAATCATTTAAGTATGTTTACTATGCAAAAATTGTTTCTAAACAGTTTCAGTGCTTACATTTCTAGTAAAAGCTTAAATAATAATGGAATAAATATCGCTATTTTAAGGAATGAAAATTTGACATTAAATATCAATAATAGTGACATTTCCAGTAATACAATAAATTTGTCTTAACGTCTTTCATACAGGAAAAGATCATATACTATTTAAAAAAATTAAAATTAAATTTTTTATAAAAAAAAAATTTTTAATTTTTTTAGACTGCAAATTAAGCCCGCAGACACAATGCAAGAGAATAGTGATAGCGATAAAAATAAAACGATTTCAACCTATCAGAAATGTATATTCCATTGAATTTTATTTTTGATAGGTTAAAATCACGTTATTCCTATCGCAATTGCTATTTCTTTGCATTGTGTCTGGGGTTTTATAGATTATATGAAATGGATACATACTTTTATTACAATATTTTTTATAAATTTGGAAGTGTCTTAAAAGTCATGCAAACTTTTAAAATGAGCACCCTATATATAGACTGATAGATATAACATACATACATATATGTTGTATGTATTAGTAAGTGAGCGTTTGCAAAAAAGCAGAAGAAACATTAGGAAATGAGAGACAGTAGCTGAATCAGAAAAAACATGCGAGATTTATACAAAGTGTAGAGAATCCATGATAATCCAATCTATGATAATAAAAAGTAATAAATACATATAAATTCATCAACATCAAATCAAATATATGTAATTAAGCAAATATAACTAATATCACATATAATTAATAAAATATGTTTACGTTACATACTGCATATCTCGATATGATATTTTTTAGTTACGATGAATTACATTAATTACGTCAATATATGCATTACTTTGATATTTATTAAGATTAAAGAAAACATTTGTTTCTGATATCATACGCGAGAATTACTTTTTCATGAAGATAATTGCAAGATATCGAATACCCAATAACTTTTTAATTAGCAGACACAGATTGCAAATTGTAGATTGCACGTATCAGCATTTCTCGGACTTCGTTTAATCATTATTGGAAGCGGATAATTATACCGCCATCGTTCGGTTATGTATAAGGTCTTAAAGGTTAACGAGATTAAAACAACACTCTTCTTTCTGCGCACGAAACCTGGTAGACATCTTTATCTCGGTGTCTACTGAGGAAAAACGGGAAACGTGATTTGATTTAGTACGGAGAAAAGTCGTGGCACACAATTCGCACACCGTGATTCTTATTTTTACATAGAATTCGACATCACATATGTATCTAAATTTTTGTATACGTATATAAACTGGAAAAAATTATGCTGTGAGATCGACTGTACTATAAATAACGTGGCCGTAACCGTTCCTGTGATTTATCATCGTATGATTTCAATGCTTCGATGTCCGATAATTAAAAAGCGACGGTCATATAATAGATATTCGTCTCTAACCACAGCATGACTTTGCTAAGGAACGGTCACAGAATTTTCATACATTAATATAAAATATGCAGGATTACAAATTTCGCTACGCGTGTACCCAAAAGGTATTCCATATGTAAATTTTATCATGCAATATGCTAATACACGAATAAATTGGTCCGCAAGGAACCAATTTGCAAATGATCGTAGAAGCAAAGGATCGCCACATCGTGCCAATCGATATATCATTCTTATAATTAGATATATAGCAATGTCAGACGTTTATAATATTCTCATCTTATTCTTTCGCGACAGACTACAATTCGTACTATTATTTTTATATCTGAGTCCCTGTTTGTTGATTGGTAAGGGTAGATG